TAATCAAATGACTTGGACATTTGCACATGCAAGATGGGGAGAGAGAAAATGATATTAATATATTTTTTTAAAAGAAAATAGTTTTTATTTTCTTTCTTTTTTTTGAAATAACAGTTTATAGAGGAGACTCAAGTAACGTAATTATGAATTCTTAAGGGTAAATTTCTTAAATTACCCTTATGGTTTAGTTAACTGGCTAACTATACCCTACCACTACTTTCAAACAATTGACTAGATTTACCCTTATGCATCCGTTAACTTTCCGTTACATGTGACATCACTTGATTGATATATTTGCCAAAATTTTCTAAAATACCATTTTCACCTCTATTCTTAAAAATACCCTTTGACCTTTGTTTCTAAAATGTCATTTCTAAAATACCCTTTTCACCTGACCCCTATACCCGATTATGGTACTGCACTAGGTGTTGGATCGGACTGTCTTTGATATGCTAATCAGTGAGATCCTTAGCGGGGGTTAAAACCTGGGTATGTTGGGACAGTCTGAGAATTCATCTGAGTGGGTGATCATAGTGACGGGATCAACCCCTTTGTCGGACAAAGGTAATGATCGGGGATGCACTCTCACTGATGGAAACCAAGCTGCTGGCAGTTGATTTCAATCGTTGGAATTTTGTTTTGCAAAATTTATATATAAGATATATAGATATATACGGTTTCAAAATGTTTGCAAATGGTTTTAATTCCCGGAATCCATGTAAATAGAGAGTGCAACATTGTTCCTTGCAGCCGAGGGAGAGGTCCTCTTTTGTCGGGTAGTGCTTAATCATTATGGGCTGAGAGGTTAAGTATAAGGCCATTTAGGATAATACCTGATGGGCTAATCTTGCATCTGCCCAGAGTCCCTAGGCTTCCCAGTGAATTCGGCTAGGCCTTGTAACAGAGGCTGGGCCGAACCCATGTGGCTGGTGTGTAGATCAATGCTTGGGTCCCATGCCATACAAAAATGCCTAACTGGATAGCAGTTTCGAAGGCTATTGAGCACTTATTACTTAATGGACCTAAAGCCCATTTCGATCTGTGCTGATTTGATCAGTCAATTAAGGGGGCAGATCTGAGATTAGGTTGAGTCTAAAGCTAATCTAATCTGCAGATAAGATTAAGAAGAATCCTAATCCAAATACAGATTTGGATAAGGGCAACTCCTGATATGATTAGGAGGTTTTCTTAATCATTAAGAAAGAAGAGGAAAACCCTAATTTCACTTTACTTGAATTCGAACCCTAGGTTTTTTCAGTAGACAACACTGCAATTTGAGATAGGATCTTAGACAACTCTAGAGAAGAAAATAACAGTTCGCCATCTTCTTCTCTAGCATTCTCCTCCAGTCGCCATCATCTTCCATCCTCCGATTCCTAACGGGGATAGGTTCCTTGTAGGGACACAAATCCCTAAACTTTTTTAGATAATAGTATTTTTTTGAAAAATGAATTTATTTAAAATAAATAAAAATTTAAATTATAAATAATGTTTTAAATATGTTTTGATATATATATATATATATAATCGGGGTTGGGTTGGGGTGGGGCGGGGACCTCAATCCCCATCCCCGATTTGATGAGGTTGGGAAAGTCGGGTCCCCGTCTGGGATGGGAAAAATTGCCATCCCTATAAATGCAGCCTAAATAATGTCAGTTTTAAAACTGTATTGCACCAAAAACATCTTTTCTCATTCAATGGAAAAGACACCATGGCATGGTATATTAATCAAATGACTTGGACATTTGCACATGCAAGATGGGGAGAGAGAAAATGATATTAATWTATTTTTTTAAAAGAAAATAGTTTTTATTTTCTTTTTTTTGAAATAACAGTTTCTAGAGGAGACTCAAGTAACGTAAGTATGAATTCTTAAGGGTAAATTTCTTAAATTACCCTTATGGTTTAGTTGATTGACTAAGTATACCCTACCACTACTTTCAAACAATTGACTAGCTTTACCCTTATGCATCCGTTAACTTTCCGTTACATGTGACATCACTTGATTGATATATTTGTCAAAAATTTCTAAAATACCCTTTTCACCTCTGTTCCTAAAAATACCCTTTGACCTTTGTTCCTAAAATGTCATTCCTAAAACCGCTCCGCCTCCATCTCCGGGTCTTCGTCTCAGTCTAATTTCTATAATAGCAAAAGTTTTATCTGGAGGGTATGAGTGGATGTCTTAAACATGACAATGAATACAACAATCAAGCGAAGGTTGAGCGAACTTTGATGGTGAATGAACTTTTTTCTTTTATAGAAACAAAAGGTGCTACACAAGACGGGGGTAGCACACCCTACAAAATCACCAAAACAAATAGAAGCTAAATCACTAGGAAGGGAACAGAGATTGAGAGAAATGACACCACTAGACAAAGAATGAGCCTTGCTTGTCAGCCAGTCCATCGCTTGATTTGCCTCCCGATATACGTGCCTGTAGCAAATTCTATGTTCCATCTTTTCCTTCATCTACCAGTAGCTTGAGATTACATTCCTGAGATTCCAAGGAGGGATCAGAACTATGAGACATTTTATAACTAGGTTAGAATCCCCCTTCAATAGTGGTTGAGAACTCGGTGAAGTTCGTAGCCAAATTATGAGCTTCCCATGCTGCCCATGCCTCTAATACATTAATAGAAGAATAACCCAAGTTATAAGCTTTATAATCCAAAACCTTGCCTAAATGGTTTTTTGCAATAGTTGCAACAATACAAGAGCCATTTCTAGTGCAAGATGCATCGAAGTTAATTTTAATTTCACCCAGATTCGGGGGAGCCTAGGAAATACTATTTATTTTCTTAACATCTTTTCTATTATCTGGTTCCCCGTTAACGAACCAAAACTCATTAAGAGATTTAAAGGCTTTGCCGATAATAATTTGAGGGGGGTCATCCTTATAGTTGAAGGTTTTTTGATTCCTATTCTTCGAAATAAACCAAAGGATGAAGGCACATTTTTCTTATATACGAGTCTACTCAACCCCATCTTTAT